TTTAAACAGAAGTCTGGTGTGGGCGGGTGTGCAGCACTACCTCAGAGAAGCCCATTTCTGCAAGGAGACCCTTCAACCTGCAGCCAAAGGATGGAGCCTGGGGCAGACAAAAGGAGAGGGAATCCCCCACCAGCCATGCCCATGGAAAGACTCATTCTGTGTTCTATTTCCCCCTTGTTTCTCAGCGGCCACAGGCTAGCTCTTCTCTCTTTTACTTCCATCTCCTTGCCTTGTAATTGAAGGATAAAGGAAAAGAACAAAGCAAACCTACCTGCAGGGGAATCGGGCGCTTAGGAAGCCACCATCCTTTCTGTATTTTCCTGCCTCCTTGGAGGCCTTGGCATGCCTTGGGTAGAAGCCTGCCCACACCCTGCTCCTCAACAGCAGCCTCCTCACATGTCCTCATGCCCAGAGAAGGGGCTACAAAGCCCCACTGGGCAAGCTTGAGTCCTCCCTGCAGGACCTGCCTCTGTATTTCTAGTGGGTGCCTATCTGGATGAGCTTCTCAGGTTCACTTACCTGGTTCCCAGTTAGATGCTGTGGTTATGGGGTTTACTGAACCAGACCTCTCCAGTGAATGCACACACAGAGGTGTAAAGGCAGCAGGAATAGAGAGTCAAGGGTAGTCAGGGACCACTTAGAGTGACAGCAGAGAGCATTGGGACCTCCAGGACATCCTGAGACGCGTCCCCTGCAGTTGAGTTTAGAAACTGATGTTTGTATTAATGGTCCAGAGACATCATCACAAGCTTCAGCTACTGTATTTCTAAGATGAAGGCAGTTGAACAATGGTCTGGCTTTTGAGGGAGTTCATGACCACTGGAGGCAAACGTGGAGGAAACTCATGGGTTAGACTTAAACAGGCCTGCTTTATTCACGGGAGGCTCTTTGGTAGATTAAGAATCTACATAATCTGTTTTAAGGAGATGGGAAGCTGTGCTCTGAGCCCCAAGTATTATGTCTACCAGGATGAATGTTGTAGAGAGCTGAAACCTCTTCTCCAGTCTCTCAACATCCTAACATACTCTAATCTAGTTCTAGTTCAGGTATCAATGATCAAAACATGAGTTCTGCATGTGAGACCCGACCTGCATGTGGACCATTCCTGCAGCTGTCCCTTATGGGCTCTTGTGTCCACGTTTCCTGGATTTCATGCTCTGCCTTTGACATTTGGCTGACAGAGTCCTAGTGTTGTGTGGGTCTTTGTAAGCAGCCGCTAAGGACTTTGTTGCTGTCTGCTATGATCCAGAGCCCCCCGGTCATTATAGCTCTAAGATCTGTGTACCTCCTGAATATTGGGAAAGGAATAGGAAAGTGACTTTCCCCATCAAGTCAGTGTGCACGATGGTATATTGTGGCCACTGAAGGTAAAGAGTCTAGAGAAATGCCCATCTTGTTCTGCTGTACTAAGAACCTGTGTAAGCTGGTAATGACCTAGCCTAGCCCACATATGCCCCTTCTCAGCTGATCTGGATGCTGTGTTGCTGGGTCCTTCCTATCCTGCTTATTTCTATTTATCCCATTTATTTATCCTATCCTCCTGTTGAGGGCCCTAGTTTACTTCAGGGTTCCCTGACCTACCTGTCTTAAGGTCTGCTGCTAAACATGGGTAGGTCAGGAGCCGGAATTGTGCAGTCACATACTCTGCCAACCCCACAACCACTGGCTGGTATGCCTGACCACACAGCAGCCCTGCCTGGTCTCATTGGGGTTAGCCCTGTATGTTTAGGACATGATTTGCCCAGAACTTCTGGCCATGCCACTCTGCTGAACTCTCTTCTGGAAGCTCTTGCATAATCGACACAGTAACCTGACAGTGGCTTTGTGTATGGTGTACAGAACTTTGGTATGAAGAACATGCATGTACAGGGTGATCGATGAAGGTATAAGTGGATGCTGTATGATGGCCCAACATTCTTCCCAGCCAAGGATAGAACACCAGTAGAAGCAGACGTTTACTGCTGGGCAAAATCTTCTGTTGGTGTCTGTTTGCTTTCTGGTACCCAGCTCAATTCTTAGGCAGGCAAGTGTGCTGGAAAATGGAGCCCCGGTGCATCAAGCAATACTACGAAAGGAACCTGATGGTGTTCCTGTTTGAAAGAAATGCCTAGTGCCGAAGTCTCTCTAGGTACAGCTTCAGGAAGAAGGCAAAAATCACAAGACCTGGCATAGATGCTGCTTTTTCAGGGTTCTCTTACGGCAGCAGAGCCTACAGTAGTCAGGTACCAACTCGAGAGAGTCGTGGTGTGGATGTAAAATGTCCCAGACAGGCTCCTGTGTTAGAACAGTTGATCCCAGGGGAGCTGGGGAGGTAGCTGTTTGGGAAGATTGTGGAAGCTTTAGAACACAATGCTTGCTAGCATACATAGGGTCATAGAGATTGGGCATGAGGGTTAAAGGTTGCTTGGCCTTTGGCTGGAGTTCTCTCTGCTCCTGGTCAGAGGAAGTATGAGGAAGTTGATTCACCAGCTTCTATGGTCTAACACCAAACCAGCCTCAACATGATGCCTTCCCACTGTGAGGGGATCTAGCCCTTCAAACCATGAAACAAAATAAACGTTGTTTATGTTAGGTATTTAATTGCAACAATGAAAAAAATGAATACAGGGTATGATTGAAGAACCTGAAGTCTAATCTCGCCAGTGTATGGGACAAAAGGGCCGTTAACACTGCCTGCCTGTGCAGGACCATGTCATGGGTTCATTCTTCCCTGTATAGTAGACACTTGAGCAAACAGTGTGAATCGCCTAACTTTCATTATTCCAGTGGTACCCATTCTTTTCTTCCCTTTCCCAATGCATAAATATTTAGGGGGCCCTTCTCACCGGCCTGACTTTCAAGGCCATGTTTCAGAACTCACAAAAGAGACACTATCAGCAGGGTACCCATAGAATTCACAAGAGATACATGGTCGATAAGTTACCCAATATAGAAGCTGTATTCTACTCCCTGGAATTGTTTTAACCCTTTCAAGTCACAAACGAAGCATTTAACTCTCACTGATTGCATTAGAACATCTAGACAGACAGATAACAGTAAGAAAAAAGAGGAGGCTGCTGGGAAAAGGAAGATACTAGATGGGTGGGAATAATGACCTATTATACTCCATAAATCTATGAGTAAATACATTGATTCAAATGTGGATGATCTTTGTTAGCAGGAAGACAGAGATTGTATCCCTGATAATTAGTTGGTTTTTGTACATTTTTCTGAGAGTCTCTAATGAAAGGAAGCCACATAGGAAGGTTGACTGTTATAGGCCATTTTCTGCCTACAGTATTTTATAATTAAACATAATTGGTGATTTTTGGAGTAAAGGTTTATAAACATGTTTCCATACAATTTAGCAAAATACAGCTTTATTGTATGTGGGGATGTCTAAACTCCAAAAACAAGATCTAGCAGCTGCCACACATTCAGCACTTTGGCCTAGGACTAGTAGAAATGTTTTCTGTGTTTTCCTTAAGAAGCATACAGAACACAGATGCACTGCCAACTTGACTCCTCTGGGCTGGACCCAAAATTCATAAAGGTGATTTTAGGGGGCCCTATGCCCTAATATTGCTGCTTTTCACACTGGGCAGCATGGCCTAGCTTTACCTACAATCAGCTGTTTTCAGAAACATATGGGAAAAGCAAGCTACAGAAACTGGGACATTGTTGACAGGTCACCAGTGACATCCTTAGAGCAGTGTCATGGGTCCATTCTTTCTTGTATAGGACACTCTTGAGGAAACAGAATTGTGACTCTCCTAACTTTGATTACTCTAGTGGTACCCACTATTTTTCCCTGCCCTAACACATAAACATTTAAGGGCCCATTTCATTTACAGTGGTTGCTCCTACCTCCAATGGAGCTTTTCCTTTAGGGACATCAGCATGGGGTGATAGTAACTCAAGAACAGTCATGACTTTATTTAAAACAGGCATCTAAGTCTTATTGAATATTGTGAAAGAAAGTTTGGGGTTTGATATATATATCTCAAAGCCTATTAGACATCAGAGAGGAAGTATCTCTTCCATTCTCACTCCTGGCCTTCATTGTCCTTTTCCTCCTCATCATATTTCTCTAGAGGTATCCTATGCAAAGAAGCGTTTGCTCTGAATGCCCCTCATTTTGCTTTGTTTGTTTAACAATATAGTTGCAAGATGAGTGCACATTTATTCAACACCTGTCTCTTTAAGGTGCTGCAGAATACAGGTGCATATAGCTTCTTTTCCTGGTCCCTGATGGGTAGACATAGGTGTCTGGGGAATTGGATGTCACACTGTAGAAACAGCATGTGCCACATATCTATAGATCCATCTCTTCCTCAGAGATCGACAGAGGAATGATGTTCTGCTTGCTGCCTCTGCACTTGCTGTAACATGCAGCTTGACATCAGTTTCTGTGATAATAGGAATAAGCCAATGCTTAGTGTGTATCAGATGCTCTATGCATTATTATTTTCTTATCTGTTTGAATATTTGATATTTACATAAAAAATGTTATTGCTCTATATTTGTTATGTAAGACCCAATGAGAGAGTGAATGAGTATTACTTAGTATTCACTCGTTCTATCATCACCTCTCCTAGATTTTATAGATGAGGCTGTGAGTTTAAGTGGTAGAGCTGGGATTTGAACTCAGGTACCATGGGTCAAGTCCAAGTTCAAGATGCTCCATTCCCTATTCAGATGAGCATGATAGGAAAGGTAATAGGACTTTGAAAGGCACCACTGGGTAGAGTCCCTTTGCAACTAAATGTATGGTGACAGTGTATAGAAATGAAGCCAAATTCATGGCAGCAGTGTATACAAACAGAGCTTCTAAGCTGCAGTTCAGAGTCAAGTATGCTGACCACATGTTGAGAGTTTGCATATAGCTGTACCAACTACCCAACGTTCCCTGAAGCCCGGCTATGGCCCACTAGCCAGGAGAGCAGTAGTACAGTGCATCGGGCACCTGAGAGGCAGCTAAATCAGTCATTTTGAGACACCTCTTATTTTATTTTTAATAGAAACCAAAGTATTTTCTGGAAACAGCAAGGAGCAGCAAGGAGAAGCACAAGTGACCCTTCCTGCTTCCCCAGTGGGACAGAAGCCCATTAAACACTTCCCTCCTGACGGGGACAGTTCACCCAGCAGTGATGGTCAGTCTAGCATCTTTTCTGAGCCCCAAGAGAGATGGCACCCGTACTTCCTGACACCCAGAGTCCCTTTGTCTGGGTTTCTTTGCCCTGTACAAGCTGCATGTGCCTCTCTGCAGGAGGATGGTACAGTTCAGATAGAAAAAGAGTTCCCCAAAGGTAAGGAGCGAGGGTGGCGGTCTCAGGGCTCATTCTTGGTCCACATAAAGAAAATAGCTCAGTGTCTTTCTGGGATGGTTCATGCAAGCTGGTCTTATGGAGAGTCGGCAGGAGGGGGGGGGGCGGGGAGAGAAGGAGCAGGACTAACAAGTAGACATAGTGGGTAAGTCACACCTCACAAGCAGATAGAAGGCAGCTCTACACAGATCATGAGGCCCCAGACCGACCACACCCCATGCCAGTGCCAGCTAAGGCCCAGAAGGCTGCCCAGGGACACAGCAGATTCTGTGGCTGAACTTTGGAAGGTCTGGGGAGCTGGTGCAGGTGCCATAAAGGTAGCATGTGTTCCCCCCCCAGCTGCCCAGGCCCCCAGCAACTGGATGACAGAGATTATAGCTCAGGGGTACAGCCCTGACACATAGCTAACACTTCATATGAGCAACTTGGGCCCCATGGGGTACACAGTCAAGCGCCCCATCTCCATTTCCCACAGAGGAAATAACCAAGTTGGATATAGGCATCATATCCCTGTAGGTCAAGGTACTGACCACTCCTAAATACTGTTCTGAACAATTCTGTATGAAAAGACAGGAGAACGTGACATAGAATGGCCTCTGGGGCCTAGTCATACAGGCTGAGGTCAATACTCTCTGCAGAGCAGAAGGCACAGTGTAACTGTTATGTGTGTGCTGAATAATGTGGAGCCTGAAGGTGGCCCACACTCAGAGAGGGTCTGGCAGAGGTGTCTCTGTCCAAAATGATTCCAAGCTGGGACTTGAGACGTCAGTGTCATTCGAGGTTTAAAATGAGGCCAGAGAAGAAGACACACTGAGGGTGAAGGGAAAGGTACACAAAGCAAAGAGCAGCCCCAGGGAGGCCTGGGCTGGTTTGGAGAGTCGTGGGGGACCCAGGAGGCCAACACCAGAACCAGGGGCTTCTGATTCTTCAAGGTCCCCGGGGTGGATGTTGGAAGAGCCTCTCCACCCACTGCAGGAGTCTAGGCTACAGGCAGGGCCAAGGCTTTGAAAGAAAAGACTCTCCGTGGGGTGTGTATTCCAGGTGACTGTCCCGCGAGCAGTATATGGACAGATGGGAGAGGGGCTAGGCTGGGGCTGAGATCCAGTCAGGGAATACAAAGGAGGTCTCTAAGGTGGGAGGAGCCACGGGGATGGAGACATTGTGCATTTTGGAACAGGTGCCATGAAAAGTGAGGAAGCAGCATGCCAGGACTAGCCCCAGAGTTATCGTTTTCACATGAGGATGAAGGAGGAAAAGGGTGTGAAGACCCTGGCTTCTCCATCACAGGGAGACATGGGCACAGTGTGGTAGAGAAGGGGGTTAATTTGGGAAGAGAGGGTGCTGGCTAGTGGCTAGACCTGAGCTAATCTGAGCTACTAAGGAGAAAATGAGACAGTGAAGGAATCCTCTAGAAGGAACAAGAGAACATGCTTGAAGGCTAAGTAGTGCGGGATTGGCAGAGAATCACGTGACATGGGGTGGAGTAAGAGCCAAGACAGGCTGGGTCATCTGAGGACTGAAGGGGGTAGGGAGGCTGAGTAAGTAGAAAAAGGATCCAGCCAGAGAGATGATAGCTAGAAACAATGAAATGATAGCAGGGGCTTGGATGAAATGTCTCTGGTGGCCGGGAGAGCCTCCTCAGCCACCTTGCCTCACCCCTTTCTGGGCCCTATGCCTGGTGCTGTGGGTACATGTGAAATAAGCATTAGATGGTACAGTGAGGTCAAGACATGATCCTTCCAATGGCTGTGGAGCCTGCATGGGACTGGACTAGGCTCTCTGCATGGCAAGACAGTTGTGTAGCTTGATCTGCTTGGGGGGCCCCCTGGTGGTAGGATCAGAATCCACCCCTGGTGCAATGAGCGGGCTTTTTGGAGCCCACTGCCTAGGATGGGACACCCCGTGCAGCCTTAAGGCAGGGGAAAGGACTTGCCTTTACTGCATATGCTTCCCCGTGGGAGGCCTCGCTTTCTTGGGGGGGGAGGGGCACTGGAGGATGGGCTGGAAGGGGGAGGCTAGGGGGCAGGAGGAGGGAAGAGGGGATCTTTGATTGATATGTAAAATGAATGAAAAAATTTTCTTAGTTTTAAAACAAAAGAAAGAAAAAAAGAGACAGGATCCTAAAACCAGTCTTATGACTATGCTGCAGAATTTAGGTGGCAGGGTGCATCCTGTCTTAGGAAGGGAAGGAGGGGCCCTGATAGTCAGGACTCAGCTGGAGGTGGGGATTCACCAGGAAACAGAACCAAAAGCACTTAATGGAGATCAGCGGCCATTTGGGGCAAGAAGATGCTGGGCTAAGACAAAGGGGGAGTTAGGTGAGGCTGGGGCTGAGAAGATGCAGCAGAGAGTACAGGTCAGAGGGGAAGGGTGGGCTAAGGGTGACAGATGGGCCTGTCCTTGCATTCGAGACCAAGGCTTAGTCAGGAGGTAGCCTGGAACAGTTGCTAATTCTATTCTACTAACCCCAGAGATGGCCTCACTTGGGGTGCTAAGGGGTCAACTCATATTCTGACTCTTTCCACAAAAGGAAACGAAAATGGCCCCAGGAAAGGGCCCCACCAGCTTTGAGAAACCCTCTGATTACTTATGTGAAGCCAGTGGTGGACTCTGGAAAATTAAGGGGAGGGATACATAATTGAACACCATCCCTGGTCATTATATCATTAGTGTGGCAAACACAAGACAGATTAATATGCTGTCTTGAAACAAGCGAACTGTAATAATTACACGGGACACACTTAATATGAAATCCAGACTAGAAAAGTCTCCTTTCATTTCGAGCCAGGCATTCTGAACACTGCAGTCTAAGGAACACCTCCGTGGCCTAACTAGCCAGCCATGGACTCGGGCTGACTGCCACAGTGACTAGGGCAGCCGTGAAGGTCTGTGATGAGGCTGGATCTCATGAGCTTAACAAGGTCCATTAATAACTCACTGGCATTTCTATTTTCTAAATTGTCTTGGGTGTCTTCCTCCTGTGTCTGGGAGCTGGGCAGGAGAGCCACTGGGTGCCTTCTAAATGGACTGTAAATCTGCTTTCCTAGATTACACATGCTGCGACTTGGTTGTAAAACTAAAGGAATACAAGAAGCATGAGGACCACGTTGCCACCCCTGAGCCCTCACCAGCAACGCCCTCTCCAACAATGGCAGAGGAACCACAGAGCTCTGACCCATTGGAAGATGGTTCTGAGCCTCGGCATCTGCTGCTGGCGAGCTCCATGACCTTGCAGGTAAAGCCTCCTCCCCATCCTGCTTGACCCTATCCTAGGGGAGTTTTTTTCCTGGGGAGTGTGGCATTCACCCGACCTCACTGATGCTGCTGGTCTCCTTGTCTCAGACCCTTCCCTAACCTTTTCTAAGCTCTCTTCTACTGTTTGCCTCCTGGAGAAGATGACACATGACTTCACTAGGTAGGAATGAGGACTATTGGTACTATCAACCATGACTATAGCAATGAAAGGTGCCCAGAGGTCACATGGGTCACTTCACATTTGGTTTTCAAAAGATCCCTATTAGATGAGAGCCCCTATATATACCCCATAGTCAGATGAGGGTGCACAGCCTTTGAAAGATTCAAGAAGCTTCCCAAATCATGCAGCCATGAGTTGAAGGATGTGAAAGATGTTTTTTCTTTTAGCTTCTTCTCTGATTATTGAAGTAACCGTACATATATTGATTAAAGTTCTATCATTTAAGAGGCTAGATGAGCTTGGAGAAAATTGCTGATGCTAGCATTCTGCAGAGTCAGATGCACCTTTGGGGAAGGTACATGCTATGGGTTACACTTCTCCCTGAATGTAAAGAAAGCTCCATTGGCTCACCACTGCAGTCCTGGGCCTTATGAGCCTGCAAAAACAAAACAACAACAACAACAACAAAAAAAACATCCAGGGTGTCTCCCAAATCTTGAACCTCTAAGATGTCCTCAAATGAGTGAACAGTAAAGCAGCAGCCACACTTTGGCCAGCAGAGTATTCTCAGGGGCTTTGTCTTGACCCTTCTCTGAAGCTTCTGCACATTTAGTGACTGGTGAGTCAGTTACTCAGTAGCTGATGACTCTCATTGTCAAAGAGACTCCTTTATCAGTGCAGCTGCCAGAGGCACATACGCAACACACATAGAGCTCACGGTGTGTTCCTCTCTAAGCCCCCTGTAGGCAGGGAGGGAAATGGGACCAAGGAGCACTTCTACCCTGGCAGCATACCCAGCAAACCTGTGCTGAGCACGTGCTCTAGACAGACCCAGGACAGTGCCTGTGAGAGATATGAAGTTATTGAGATGTGGCATGTGTCTTCTCTACAGCTTAGCATAGAGTGAGCCATGTGGGACTCATTCTTGCACAAGGCCATCTGTGAGGTACCATGGTGCTCTGGTTGACCTTGAAGACCCAGTAGGACCTACTGGGAGTGGCTGCCGCTGGCACACTTTCTAATAAAACACTTTGAGAGGACACATTCAAGGACTAGGAAGCTGGAACAGTGAATGGTAGCAGGGAATAAGTGTGGAACTTATCCTACTGAGCATCAACAGATTGTCTACTAAGCTACCTTGGGCCTCATTGCTTACGTCTGTCCAATAGGAATAAAGACAACTGACTTCCAGAATCTGTGTGGGGATTCACAAAGAGGATGGGCACAAGTAACTTCCCCAGTGTATGCCATGGCAGCTCTATACATGCTGCTTTGTGCAAGGAGATCAGAGGGATAAGACCGCTGTGGAGATGTAGGAGATTCTGATCTGTCTTGTGAAGCTCACAGAACCACTCTGTATAACAAAGACTTCTACCTCTTTCTACCCAGGAGAAGCAGTTCCCTTAAGCCACAGATGAGACTTCTGAAAAGTACCATTTTCCCATGCTAGTAGGACAATGTCTGTGCTTCTTAAGACTCTACCCCCAGCAGAAATGAACATGCAGATTTCTAGCACCTGCCTTCCAACCCCACCCATGTCTCTTAGAATGTTGAATTGCAGAGCCCTCAGATTTGAGTTCCTTGCCAGTGAGTGGCTTGGCAGCGTGAATCCACAAATGGACAGATGTTGGCTATTTGTACTCAGTGGCTTCAATGCTAGCTATTGCTTGGTCCTGCCACAGTGGGTTCTGTGTTGCTGCCTGGAACTGACCTCCAGCAGCTTGTCATCAATGTGCCCGTACCATCTTTACACAGGATCGCAGGGGGGAAATGATGACATGGATTTACCCCATGGCTTTTGCCTGCCGAGTGTTGTATTCTTGATTGGCTCCCGTTGAGTAAATCAGGTGGATGTGTTGTTCCCTGGTCTCCCTTCTCTTAAAAAATGAAATCTGTCCTTTGTCCCAATTAGGAAGCACTGGAAGTCCGTAGACCTCAGTTCATCTCGCGCTCACAAGAACGGCTGCAAAAGCTTAAGCACATGGTACAGCAAAGGAAAGCCCAGCAAAAGGAAAACCCGGGGCAGAAGCAGAGCCTACTTCCTGTTCGTGTCCACAAGAAGCAGTTCACCGTTCCCCATCCTCTTAGTGGTAAGCTGCAGGTGGCTCAGGAGGCCTGGATATAGAGTGGGGACAGGTATCTGCAGGCTCAAATGATGTTCTCAAATGATGCTACTGGCATGCACAGACCTCAGCATCCTGAAGCCTTCTCTGGGAGCCAGCTCATTTTGAGAGGTTACATATGGGCATGCAACTCAGCAGAAATAACTTGGGACACAGATTCACCATTCTAGCTGGGAAAGGAGCCACATCACTGTAGGAGCCAGGACAATAAGTTCAAATTCTTGGCTTCTAACGGATGCTTGCAAGTGATCTCCTTTGCCCTTTATAGATTGCAAAACAGACCTCAGGGTGAGAAGTTGACTCCAGCTTGTCTGCATCAACATTTGTCATCTTGAGACCTCTTCCTGCTATGAGCTCAGAGGAAGGATGGCCAGCTTGCCCAGCACTGTGAGGCCAGGGTCAAGTCGACCCTGAGAGGCAGGGCACTCTTGTAGGAAGAGTTAACAGAAACCTTTTCTGGGCCCAGCACTAGATGGGGGCTGGGAACATCACTGTGAGCAAGACTACCCTCAGTCTTCTTCATGGACCTCATAAACAGGTCCTTGAACTAGCAAGAATAACAAGAGATGAAGGGAAGGACTGGAATATCAGAGCACTTATGTAGGGCTTGCCAACCCAAATCTTAAAATCTGCAGGCTTGGAGAAGCCTCTGGTTTATTGCTGTGAGTACAGGAATGAGGAGGTCTCCTTAGGAAAATGTTTTGGTCCTCAGGAGATGAAATCATAAGTATGATTCTGAGTAAAAGTCCTCTGGGGGAAATAACCATATTCAGTAAACTGCAGCTTAGCAAGCTTACCAAGATCTCAGGAGGAAGGGGTTGCAGGAGACAGAGAAGAGGACCTCTCTAACAGGTTTCTATTAGACTGTTCTGTGGGCTACTGGCTCCTTCCTGCCATCCAGAGCACTTTAGGAGAGCCATTTGGAGACCAAAGCAAGGCCACACTTGAATGCATTGTTGTTGTGCAAGGGGTCACCTGTTGCTTCCATCCCATGACACATTCCAGGATGAGGAGAAATGAAGACACTAGAGGGATGTGCAAAGGGCTGGCCCATTGCACGCTGTGTGTCTAGCTAGTGTATCAAGCTAGGTACAGACACAGGCTTGGTCCCGATGTGTTCTCCAGGCACTGTTCAGTCTCTAGCTCAACAAAGAGCTCCTGTTTCAGGCACAGATACTCCCACAGTGGGAGTGTCCCCTTGGCACCTTCACTCACACAAGGTACTGAAGATTTTACTTGGTCTAAATGTTAGGCTACCAACATGGATGTCAACAGATAAGCACTATAAGCGTACACACGCAGGATGACATTGGAGGATCTCCATTTCTAGCCTTCAGTTTGCACAGGAAGCAGCAGCAGAGACCTGTGGCTGTGGGGAGCTTATTCAATATGGTGATGTGTTCATTCATTTTGCATCACTAGAACAAATACCCGAGACAAATCGACTTGCAAGGAGAAAAGGCTTGATTTAGGCTCAGTTTTTGACGTTTCAGTTATATCGGTTAGCGCTATTGCCTTTTGGCTTATGGCAAAAGAGCACATCATGGTGAGATGGGCAAAGTGGAGCAAAGATACTCATCTCACAGCACCGGGAAGCAAAGGAGAGAGGAGACCAGGATCCCACAGTCTCCTTCCAGGGCACACCTCCAATGACCTGAAAATGCCCACTTTACCCCATCTCTTAAAGTCTCTACTACCTTCCTGCAGCTCCAAGCTGGGGGCTCAGCCTTTCACACACAGGAAGATAGATACTACAGATCCAAAATGTAGCGATTACATACCTGTATTGCGTTCTTGCTGTGCTGTAAGATATTGCCACATACACGCTGGCTTAAAATCATGAACGTTGAGTCAGGTGGTGGTGGTGCATGCCTTTAATCCCAGCACTCAGGAGGCAGAGACAGGAGTATCTCTGTAAGTTCCAGGCCAACCTGGTCTACAGAGTGAGATCCAGGACAGGCACCAAAACTACACAGAGAAACACTGTCTTGGAAAAAAAAAAAATCATGAACGTACATTCTCTCAGAGCTCTGGAGACCGGAGGTCAAAATCAAGGAGCCTACAGGGTCAGTCCTATCTGGAGGCTCAGAGTAAAGCATGCCACAGCCTCTCTCCCAGCTCTGGTGGCTTCTGGCCTTCGCTGGTGCTCCTTGGCTCATGAATGGCCCCCTGCAGTCCCTGCCTTTGTCTTTATATAACCTTCTTCCTATGTCTGTGTGCTTTTGGATCCAATTTCCTCCTCTCATACTGAGCTAAGTCCACCCATCCAGTGTGACCACATATTAACTTGATTATATCTGCAAGGACCAGACTTCCAACAGCCAGGTCAAAAGAAAGTCACAGTCACAGTCTTAGGAATTTAGACTTGAATGTATCTTTTTGTGTATATGCGTGTGTATGGGAGGGGGTGTACAATTCCTCTTGCAACATCAGTCAACTTTGATGTTTTTCCCAAAACAAATACCCTTATAAGTTCATGTGCCTCTAAATGAACATTTTAAAACTGTATATAATAAAAGGGGCCCAGTCTGGATGCATAGTATTAAATAACCAAGTCACCTTTTTATTCCCCAAATTCCAAGACAGTCCTGGCCACTGGAACGCTCTTGGGGGGACTTGACCAGCAGGGATTTTATGGCCATTCCAACTGTCCCTATGGTATGGATGTGTTGAGGAGAGCTTTATTTCTGTGTTTGTTTGTGTTAGGTCAGTTAGATCAGACAAGTTCTGAAACCAGAGCCTTGTGTAAGCTCGGGCTAGTGAGAGGGAACGTTTAAGGCCCCATTAAACAAGTCTACAGTACGCATCTTGTCTTCAGCCTGTCTGCTGGCAAGATGATAAAAGCAAAATGCAGATGTTTCCTTACATGCTAAATTAGTTCATAAATCATGTGCACGAACGAGCCCCGGCTGCAGCGTTGAGACGTCTGATGGAAGGAAGGCTCAGGTTTGCTTTTCCATGCTGGAGTAGCTGCCCCTGATGAGAGGCAGTCTTGGCTCAGGGACAGACCTAAGTGCTTCAGGTGGGAGCTCTGGCACCTGACGAGGCTGAGAGAGGCTTTGGATTTGCAGGAGCAATGACGAAAGGGACCAGGGGCCAGCTGTTTCAAGTTGCCTGCTAAGTTTTCAGCAGCCTCGGAGGCTTAGGGACAGATTGCGGCATGTGTGTGCACGCACATATGCATACATATGTGGGTGTAAGTGCTAATTAGGGCTAAGGGTCTCTGTTTGAAGGGCAGGGAAAGTTTTATGAGCAGTTGGGGGTGACGGAGGGCTCATGAAGTAGCTTTATAAATTCCTGGCTTCAGTCCCCAGCTCCTGATGGGGAGCTTCCCATTGCATGGAGGTGAATGGAAAATAAGCAGGTGGGTTCTGGTGCAGGGTGGGTGGAGAGAAAAGCACAGAACTGAGAAGTGGCTGGAGGTTCTCCATGTAACTATGGAAATGGGGTTAAGGGAGCTAGGAGGGCCAAGAATCAGCTCAAGGAGAAGTGACGGCAGGGAGCTAAAGGGTATAGCTACTAAGTTTGTCTTGTGCAGGGTCAGAAGATGGAGCAGCTTGCTGTGTATGTAGAGTAGCTAAGGGCCCGAAGCAGTAAGGGCAGAGGCTAGGGAAGGTCCTGGGGTGTAAGACAGGTAGAAAAGGTTCTTGGGAGGAAAAGTAAGTAACAGGTGGCAACTATTGAGCTGTGGAAGAAAAGCTGAGATGATAAATACTCTAGCCTGTGGGTTTCTGTCTTCTCCCAGGTCAGCACCCTGTCAATTCACTAGAGTCACTTGGAACTGTAGGTGACGCTTCTCCATCAACTCTGTGTGGGATCGTGAGTGGATAGAACCATGTGCAGGTTCATAGGTAGACGGAGCCTTGTGCAAACACTAACTGTAACCTGATAGTCGAGTGTTTCAGAATTAGCTGTTGCCTCTTCCTTTCAAATGAGCCCACAGCAGAGTAGCCTGATTGTATATGGGAAGCATATACAATCAAGTGCAGCCACGTGGGCACCTGTATTTGGCAGGGTTTGTATCTGGAAGAGGTAGGTGGTGACCCTTGCCATTCTCTATCGACACATTCAGGACTTCATCCTGTCCTCACTGAAGCTCCTCACACTTGGCCTTGACTGTCTTCCACTGGAGTCTCAGACCCTCCCTGGGTCACATCCCCATCATGTCCAGATCTCCCCTCCTATGTCTGCCACCCCTCCCTAGTTGATCTCATTTTCTATCTTCCCTTAACTCCTAAATGATGACAAAATGCAGGATGAAGCATGTCTGCCCCTTCTCTCTGCAGCATAGCACCCTGCCTGAGCTCATGTCTAGGCTCTTTAAACTCTTACCCCTAAAATCCCACCCCTTGACACATAAGCTGGTATATGGAGGCTTTTGCTTCTCAACTGAGCTCTTATTAAAAGATGAGCTACTAAGACTACCTCAATGCTACCGACTCAGCCTGACAGGGCCTCACACAACCAGCCTGTGTGGCCTGACTACTTCCTCAGCCCATTTCCCATCATCCTCTTGTCATGGCTTTCTTCCATGGCTCTTCCAGTTTTGGTTATGTATCTGACCTTTAGGCATGCAGAAAAACTACCAGGAGCATCACCTTTCACAAGCCCCTCTTTCCTCTACGCCCCCATTGCTGTTCGGTTCTTAACACTTACAAATCTCCCACCTCCATGCCTTCTTCATTTTGGACTATCTTCTGTTGGTATGTGCTGGGGCAATGTCCCCCAACCAGAAAGAAGCATGGGTGGCCACATGGCACACCAGACTCCCTGCTGTATCTCATGAATCAGACAGACTTAATCTGAAGTTCGTTATCCACACTTCCCAAGGTGGGCCAAGCCTTTCAAATCACGGGCCAGCAGAGGGGCGGAATTCTCTAGAGGGCACTTGCAAATTTCCTTTCCCAGAAGACTGTTGACAGTTCTTGGCTGCCTTGCATTCTCAGAGCGTCCAGGGGGAGATGTGA